TGGGTTAAATACAACCCAATTGCTGGGTTTGTCCCTATTTTACCCAGCACTGGGTTGTATTTAACCCAGCATTTTTTAGAGTGTAGACTAGGCTTGAATATAACTATTTAATTCCTCAGACAAGCTTACTTCTATTTCTAGATTTCTTCAAGGCATTTGATACCCTTGAACACTCTTTTTTTGTTTAGATCCTTAGAAACTTTTGGTTTTGGTCCTATGTTTTATAATGATATTTTTAGTAGTGTTTCTCTTAATGTTGGTTCATCACCCAGAATCCAAAATAAACGAGGAATTCATCAGGGATGCCCTATCTCACCATTACTTTTTAATCTTGCAGTCGAACGAATGTCTTTATTCATTAAAAATGTTGAGGATAATATAGGCATAGACGTTCTTGGTAGGACCTTTACTATAAGCCAATTTGCAGACGACACTCTTTTATTTCTTAAAAATACAGAGGTGCTTCCATTAGTTATTGAAAAAAATTCTGTCGTCTCAAAGGCATCAGGTCTGACTCTAAACTTTAAAAAATGTGAATTAATGGCGATCCATAATTGTAACTTAAGACGCTATAGAGGGCATTCCAGTGAAAAAAAGAGTTTAAGTATTTAGGGTTTATGATTACTAAAAAGTGTTGTTAATAGAGAACACTCAAATTTGAACTCTAAAATAGAAAGTATGAAAAAATCCTTAAATCACTGGTTATCTCGAGACCTGTCTATATTGGGTAGAATTCTCTTGACTAAAACTGAGGGAATATCTAAACTTATTTATTTATCTCAAGCTTTGTATACTGCCCCAAGAGTAGTTAAATCGGTGAATTCAATTTTATTTAAATGTACATTTACATTTAGTCATTTAGCAGATGCTTTTATCCAAAGCGACTTACAATTGGGGGATACATAAAGCGATTCTTCTTAAAGAGGCAAACAGACACAAGAAGTGGTTGTAATACCAAGTTCTTAGACATTGTTCAAATAAGTACAAGCTAGAAAGAGAAGGAATAAATAAAGAGAGAGAATTTTTATTTATTTATTTTTTTTTATGATGAAGTCAAGTAGCTTCGAAAGAGATGAGTTTTCAGCTGTCGCTTGAAAATTGTCAGGGATTCAGCATTCGGGATAGGGGTGGGAAGATCTTTCCACCAGCCAGGAACAGTGAACGAGAATGTTCTGGAAAGTGATTTTGAGCCTCTCTGTGATGGTACCACGAGGCGTCGCTCACTAGCGGATCTCAGACTTCTGGAGGGGATGTAGATTCGTAGTAGTGAGTGGAAGTATACATATAAATGTATGTGGAAAAATAAAACACTTTTTTTACGTGAATTCCATATGGTGAAAGAGTATGAACATGGAGGCTTGAGAGCCATTGATTTTGAATCTCTTCTTGGTACATGCAGAATAAAATGGCTGAAAGAGTGTTTAACAAAGTCACACTCAATATGTGTTGTGGCAAACTGTTGGTTGCTCTTACTCCGCCCTTCCTAACTAGAGTGCACAAGCCCCAAGTGCACTAGAATTCACTAGTGAGAGAACACCAGGTGAAGGTAGTTAAGTTAATCTATTAATTAGCAGGGTAGAACAGACTTTATGTAGAGTTATTAGTTTGGTTTGTGAATTAGGTCTGGTTTTCTATATAGGGAGTATATTTAAATTTTAAAAGTTGCAAAAAGGATGTTTAAAATCATTTATTTAAAAAGTAGTGTTTGGTATGTAAAAGTATATAAATGGTTAAATATTTGTTGTCTACTTGTATGATATTCTTTGTTAATTTAAAAAAGAACATTTTAGTATGCAAGTTTTGCTTGGTATTTTTGATTCTATTTGTTCGTGCTCTTACAATGGTGTTTGTATTTGTCTAAAGGTTTTTCACCTGATTGGCTAATGACTGGCTGATTGATCTCTGCATCAAAACAAATCTGACAAATAAAAGAAAGCAAGTATGGTCAATGAGTGGAGTCCGGTGGAATTCTTGTAGTGGGCTGTCTTATCAAGTGGGAGAATCTGCACATTGAAACTTTGTAAATGGTGAAACCACTTGACAATATGGTACCATATTCCTAACCACATTTTTTTTTAAATATTGGCGGCCTTGAATTTGTGTAGAGATGTGATCTCAAACCTTGCAAAATTCCTCTGAAGGTATCTAATTTTCATGAACAAGTACTGCTTTTTTGGAAAATGATATTTACCCACAATTTTTCCCCTCACAACAGGTCTGTAATTATTAATAGGAAATCTCTGTTTAAAAGTGATTGGTATAGCCAAGGCATTATTTTTATTCATGATTTATTAGATGATAATGGCTTTTTCTTATCTTATAATGATTTCATTAATAAATACAGAGTTAGAATTACAATAAAATGTTACAGTAAGGTATGCAATGCTATACCCACTGGATTGTTAAGAATAATCCAAAGTATTTATCTAGACCTGTAGTTTCTCTTCCCTCTTTGAAAATATGTAACGTTGACCTTTTGGACAGTAAGTGTAATAACAAACTTATTTACAAAGAACTTAAACGTATTATCACTGGTGATTATCAGTGTTATTTTCTGGGAGATGTTGAAACCTCAGTAAAGGACAAAGCTTTTACCCGTTAAATGGCATACCCAGTTGCTCCAATGTTCAAGGAGACTCATTACAAAACGATGTTTAGGATTTACCCAGTTAGTGACTTTATACAAAAACGATTTCATTTCGAGGTGGATCCTTGTGGTTTCTGTTCTTCATTTCCTGAAACACTTGATCACCTTTTCTTTTACTGTGAGGCTTCTTCTAAATTTTGGTTCGATATACATAGCTGGTAGTCAGTAAAAATGGAGACAATTCCTCCTATAACCCAACAAGATGTCCTCTTTTTTTAAGTGTGATTTAAATTCATCCTTCTCTGATGTTGTCAATTTTGTTTTGTTGATGGGTAAATATCATATCCATACTTGTAAATGGGGAAAAAAGTAAACCCTCCTTCAATATATTTTTATGTGCGTTTGCTCAAATGTTTCAGAGCT